TGTACAGCCGGAGTAATGTGTATATGTCTTTCACTTTCAAATTGGAATATCCTTCAACTAGATAGATGTAGAATCCATATAATTATATTGATATTATATTATGTTTATGTTCATGCCTATGAATTTGGGAAAACTTTTTTTAGCATTTTCTTGAAATATAAGCACCATTATATAAGACTTATTCCATTGTGGAATGTAGTAGCATTTTTCTTTAATTTTGTTAGTTAACAAAAGGGAAACAAATATATCTTATATTTTGTAATGTTGGAAAAATATTCATATTTTGTTGGCTGATAAAGAAAATAGCCTATTTCATTGTTTCATTTTCCTTTTTCCCCTTCAAGATTCAATTCTTTGAAAATCAACCTATAAAAAAAATCAATAATTAATGGTTTTACCAGTCTCAGGAACAAATTCTAATAATTAAAAAAATGGCCCACTATTTTCAAACTCTATGATTATGCACTGAGTAATGCTTAAGTTTAATTGTAGATGAAATATGTCAAAAACAGTTGCACTTGAGTTAATGGCATTATACTGTCCTAGTTTTTTTTTATCTAAAGCTGTTATATTAATCTAACACCTGGTAATTCAGTGTTATTTTTTCTTTTTTTTCCTACTACAACTACTGCCAATGGGTATTGGTAACATTCTTTTCATTGTAATACATACCTGTTGTTCTTAGTATAACAGTTATTTATTATTATAATTATTATCAATATCATTACTATCATTATTGTTTTGCTGTCATCATTATCTCATGTTATTATTGCTCACATCATTAATTGCACAATAGGTGTATATTATCAGTAAACAGTGTATCAATTATCTGCATGATTGGAATGATGCAATATATTATGTCTGTGCAGTTTTTCCTGGCTAACTGTCTGTATGCTTTTCCAATGTAGACAAGATGGCCCTTACTCCAGTGGCATAGAGACGATGGGGGGAGGGGAGTTTTTCACCATCCTCTAGGCCCTTGATTGAGAATGCCCTAAATAACACCTTTCACAAAAAAAATGGAAGTTGACTGAAATTAATACAATGAAAAAATTACATGAATGATGTAATGTGTGATTTCAAATATTTTTTACATACAAGAGATGTGTTGTCTAGACATTGTAGACTATATTGATGTGCACATTGTCATTGGTAATTCTGCTTAATTTCAATTTCTCAAGTACACATAAAAGGAAATATTTCTTCTAAGTTCAAATAAGTAAAAAAAAGTATTTTTAATTTGTCATTTGTTTTCATCAAAACAAAAGAATATTGTGGGCCTTTAAAGGGATGTAGCTCCCCAGGTTATCAAATGTCTAGCTATAGCCCAGCATTGTCCTATGTATCCTTCCATCCCCTTCCTCTTTGTCCCATAGTAAAGAGATCTGGCAGAAGGAAACAGTCTACTGGGTCTTTTGTATCCTTTTATCAAATAAACATCAGAGAATACATGGTTGTTTCACAGCACTGGTAACCTTATGGACCCTGTACTTCTGTGGAACACCTTTAAATCATGAAACATTCAGTGCAGCTGATTCAAGAATGATTAATCTCACAGGAGACATTGGAATTCACAGATGCTTGTTGGCAGCTTGTTGACAGGGATTGTGACTTGCATAGTTCCATCCAGAGAATGGACAACGAACAGATTATCAGGAGTCTTGCAAAGGAGGTCGAAGGCCATTTCTTTAAACTCCAGATCTTCATCCTGTTGTCTGTCCTGAGGAGCATTGGTCTGAGTTTCTGAGAGCAGTTGTAACAGCTATCTGGGATGCAGGTAGTGTCAAGATCCCTTTCGCGGACCCACCTATCAGCGTGGATCCACCTTCTCTAACTGAACTTAGGAGGACAATCTTTAAGGTGAAGAGTGGTAAAGCAGCAGGTATCTGGGGCATCCCAGATGACCTGTTAAAGGCTGGTGACGAACCTACGGAGCAGGTTTTGCATGCTGTCCTGGCTGTACCATTCTTCCTGACCTGTTGAGGGGTGTAGTCATCCTTCTGTGGAAGTGGAAAGGCATAATTACACATTACATTACACCTAGGCATTACACTGCTTAGTATATCAGCCAGGGTTCTCACTCACATGCTTCTGAGATGTATCAGAGACCACCTGCTGAGGCACCAGAGGCCAGGGCAATCTGAATTCACTTCTGGTAAGTCCACAATCATAGATATAAGAAGGTATTTTGGGGGGGGGGGCTAGGTAGGTTTTCCCCAAGTGGCCAGGGGTCCTGGATTTTTGCAGTTTTAAAGAGATTATTTCTGCACTAAAAGTCAGACATTTTTATTTAGATAATACCTCATATGATGGTTATTTTATTTTGATCAAACTCAATGAGTCAGTGTTCTCGACAACTGGGTAACTAACGAATCCCACTGTTTGTTTGTTTACTGGAAATGTCCTCGAAGAGTGTGAGGGCAGAAGCTGGGTCTCGCCTCCCTCCATTCTAGAGTGGGGGGCGGTTGCCCCCCAGTTCCCCCTTTTCCTCTGTCTATGA